TATATATATATATATATATATATATATATATATATATACATATATGAGACAATTGGTGAAAAAAGAGGCCATGAATTTGAAGGAGAGTAGGAAAGGAAGAAATGTAATTATATTGTAAATCTCAAAACTAAAATAAAATTTAAAAAGAAAAAACCAAGAACTAGAATTTAATGGCACTAATGAAGTCAGCTACAGACTTTAAAAAAAAAAAAAAGAGTCTTTCTTCCTAGGACTCTCTGCACCTTCAAGATATCATGTTGCAAGCCCTCTCTCTGAATGACTACTGTTCCCTTCCTCACTGAGAATCTTTGTTCTCTCTTTAAAATCATAAACTGTCAAGAACTCTGTTGTTTGAAATGAGATCAGTGAGAATGAAATGTCTGACTCCTGCCTGGAGGATCTAACACGCTTTAACAAAGAAACACAGTCTTGATTTATAACCCAGGTGCTAATCTTCAGAGAATGGACACATTCACAGCTCTTCTCACTTAGTTCCGGAGGAAGCTGGACCCTTGTCTGTGCTGCAGTTGATGCTGGCCTGTTTCCAAACAGCTTTGTTGTGCACTGACAATGCCAAGAGAACGTCACTCAGTTTCTCGACCTTCTGTGCAACTCTATCTTTTCCCTAGTTTAGTCTAAAAAGTCAAAACCCCATCAGGTTGACATAACTGGCACTGGTACAGCCAGGTAGTAAGCTAGCCCAGAATTGGCTCTTTGCCCACAGGGGAAAAGAGTTAACAGGCTTGAGGGTTTTATATTCCATGTTCATTTCTAAATATCTTGGTCTGGTTAGGCTAGAAAAAGTGCCTGGCTTCAGAACATGTGTTTATGTGTGATATATATATTACTGCTTTCAGGTCATTCTTACTCACACCCAAATGATGGTAGCTGATGATAGATAGATAGATAGATAGATAGATAGATAGATAGATAGATAGATAAATAGATAGATACTATTATAATTTATCTGTAAGTTATCAATTAGGTTGGAAATGGTGGGAAAAAGATAAATCATCCAAACAATTAAAAAAAGTGAAGAGATTACATATTTATCAGAGAAGACAAACTGCCTTGTCCTCTTTGACTTCAGTAAGTCGAGGAAGCCCCCATACGACTGGACTGGCATAAAAGTAAGGGAAAGAAGTGTTGAGAAGTCTCATAATGGCCAGTGGCTACACAAAAACACTTGAGATTCCTTAGGGAACAGAAAGAACTAGTAAAGTTTTTCATTCTGGTTATTTCGGTAGAAGGATATTCAGCATGCTTGCCTTTGGTAGCAATAGAATGCAACTCACACATATGTTGCCCTTCCTCATGCTGCCATAGCTTACAGAAATACAGAGAACAACTAGCATATGTACCTAATTTTCAGTGTTCGAGCCCAATGAACATTCTCTTACCGCATTCAACCGCCGAGCGTGGTACTGTGCTGCTGAAAAGTAGTTCCCTGGCTTGAGAAGTTTGTCCGTCATGTTTGACACATACACCCCAATTTTAGTCATCTGAGTGGAGGTTGTATTTGTTGTTTGTTGCAGCTTTTTTCTCTGAAAAACTGTCTAAAATGAAGACATTAAGAATGAGCACCTACTACGTAATTTCTAGAGTAAAGAAAATCTTACAAGCATCGGCAGCAAGTGGAGAGTGCTTTTCTACATATTTGCATTAATCTTTTATTATCTTCGTTTTCATAATATTAGTTATGTGGGGAGAGATGGCATTCTGAGTGAATGTATATTATTGCCATGAGCACGGCCATGGCAAGAGGGCCAGTGCCTCCGACCGTGGGAATGGCAAGGCATTCCCTGGGTCAGCATCAGAGCGATAGCAAAGCTTTCCATTGGTCAGAGTAAGGAAGCTGACAGTGTGAGAAGAAAATATTCCAAACTTCCTCCTCTCAGATGGCTGTAGCCTGAAACGGTTCCCCTAGATACCTCTTAAGAGAGGAGTCGCTTCCTTATTTGGCTGTATATAACAAGCGACCCTCTGCCTTCCACAGTAGATTCCATACCCAGTGGTATATAATAAGTGTATCTGGTCACTGGGCCACTGGTGTGTCTCCATCAGAGCACACGACTCACCAGATCCCAGCTTTTCCATGGTCTCTTCATCACCTGTCACCCCAGTAAGGTCAATCCCAAAGCTGTACAGATTGGGGCACAGTTAAAAAGAAATTCGAGGGGATCATCCAGTAGACTGTTGACACACACATAAACAGGAAAATAAGAATGTTACCTGGGTGTCCCGACAGAACAGATTGGTTTTTTCAGGAATCTTTTTAGGTACAGTTTGTGTTCCAGCGTTGTGATACTCTAGTCCTGTTATTTTATGTCTAAAGCCACCAAGAAATGGCTTGTGGAAGTCAGATTTTATTATCTCAACTGCTACCTCCTCATAGCGATCGAGGCCTAAGGGGATGAAAGTCAAGGCTGAAGGAAAGTTCAACACAAGGGGCCATACTGAAACACTTTGTCTAACAGATAGTAAGGACTTACTGGTCTGGATGGTGACCGTTATGATCTGGGAGCCCTCACTCAAGCCCTCGATTCTTCTCACCGGATATTCGTCGGGGTGTGTGGAAAATACCTCCACTTGAACAATTTCTTGTGGTTTAATTCCATATTGTATTAGAGACTCATTATTCCCAACAATGATTCCTAAGAACATGAAAACGTTAGGCTGCTTTACGGCAAAGAAATGGACATGTCTGTTTATTCTTTAAGCTGAGAAAGTTGCAGATGTTTAGATTTGTAACCAATGATGTTTCACTCAACATACGCCTGCGTTGTGAAATGGTTAAATAAAGCTAACAAATCCATTACTGACATACTTACCTTCTTTGGTGAGAACACTTCGATTTCACTGTATTAGTAATTTTCAAGCATATAATGCGTGTTGTTAACTATAGTCACCATGATATGCAGTGATCCACCAGATGTTCCTATTTTAAGGAAGTGGAAGATAACAAAGCTGCCTGTAGGAACACATGTCAGTAAAGTACTAAATGGAATATTCATGTTTCCTACCTCATACTATAATATTTGTACAGACAAGTCCATAAGGCAGTAACTATAGCTAAAAACAATTTAATATATTTTATAGATAACTGGAAAATAAGTAGATTGAAATTTCAATTACCTTGCTTTAATAAATCCATGTGTTATAACTTGTTGAAGCATCATGGTATCATAAATATGCATAAGGTTACAAATTATTAAAAAAAAAATAAAGTGTAGAGGATTAATTCAGCAACATGGCTGCTCTGGTAAGGGATTACATCCAAAGACCTTCTAGGTCTGTGTCATCTAGACGGAATGACACACCTAGACACAAAGTTCATGAGCTGGCCTCTTTCCTGTGTTCTTCTCCAGAGTGGGCACAGACTATCAAGCCTGAGGTACAGCCCTCATGCTGGATTAAAGCAAGCACCTCTTTTGAAGGATGCTTGGTTCGTATAGAATCTCACATCTCTCTATTTAGTGCTGACATAAACTTGGTACCCAGTGGTTACTATAATGGTAACTATAAAGAAGAATGGTTGGGGGCTGGAGAGAGGGCTCAGTGGTTAAGAGCACTGACTGCTCTTCCAGGGGTCCTGAGTTCAATTCCCCGCAACCACATGGTGGCTCGCAACCAACTGTAATGGAATCAGATGCCCTCTTCTGGTGTGTCTGAAGACAGCTTCAGTGTACTCATATACATAAAATAAATAAATCTTAAAAGAAAAAAGAAGAAGAATGGTTGCTCATAAAACACTAAGAATAGAGCCTTCAGTGTCTCTATCCTCTGCACTCTGTATCTCCTCCAACTTTAAGCTTCATGTTTGAGTTAATGTTCCATAGTTTAAACTTCCCTCTTTGATGTCATACAGTCCAAACTCTGCCACTTACTAGCACCTTGTCATTATAGGGGTTCCCTGAGTTTACTTTCCAGTGAATTAGTAATAGTATCTCCCTCAAAAGGGTGGCTGTGTAAATTAATGATGACATCAGCAGAATATTTTAGAGAAGTACTAACATACTTAAGGACATACCGTGCTGCCATTGTAATCATCATTAGCATTTTTGTTGATAGTCACTGTGTAGCTCAACCTGGGTTGCTCCACCAACCTTTAACTGACAATACAATACATCTTAACGTTTGGAGTTCATTCACTCTCGGAGGGTTTAAAGCTTTTTATTGCACTTTATTCATTTATTTATTCAGTGTGCATGTGTGTTTGTGTGTGTGTGCGTGTGTGTGCACACGCGCATGTCATGGCACAGGTGCAATAGTCAGTCGACAGCTTGTAGGCGTCAGTTCTCTCCATCCACCACGTGGCCCAGGCATAGAACTCAAGTTGTGGGTTTAAAGTATCTTGACCTGCTGTGCCATCATACCACCCCCAGGCTCTTAAAAATTAATTTAGAACTAAACTTGTTCTTTGGAAACTATGCATAACATCTTTGTAAGTCAATACACAAAAAATTTTAATAAAAACATTAGGATTGGTTCATATGTGTCCAACATAAACATATCAGCTATACTAACCTGGTAGACTACCACCGTTACAAACAAGCTATCTAATTATGACAGAAGCTGAGTAACTTAAGCAGAGATTCTCAGCAACATCTGCAAAATGTAAGTAATTGTGAGAATTACCTTAATGGGTAGAAAACTCAGAAACTGTATTTATGCTTTATGGGTTCTTCTTCATCATCCATTTTTATTCAGTCTCATTTCCCTTCCATCCACGCAAAGCTTCTTGCTACTTTCCTAAAATACCAAGTTCCCCCACCCCTTTGGGACTTATTCCAGTAATTACCACTTTTGTTGACTGAAACATTCTATAGCCACCCAGGTTCTTTCCTCTGTCAACTTCAACTTTCGGTGGCTATTGCCATGGAAGCGTCTCCATGATACACTGGTAACTACCCTAGTGCACTCCTTCCTTGCTAGTCTGCAAATGACTTGAGGACATGATTCTGGGAATGTTCAGTTATATCCAAAGGATATAGAATAAAACATATATTTAGGAGAATGTGTTAAATGAACTAATGTGCTGCCATAATATAATGCTGAAACAGTAAATACTAAGTTTTAAGATCAAAGATCTTTGGTGATTTACACGTTAAAGCCAGAACAGTCTTGATAACCTCATTAGCTTTTAAACCTACCTGCATGCGTTATCTGCAGAACATAGTGTGGGATACGCAATAAGTGTGCAAAGTGTTCCTTGAGGAACCTAAAGGGAGCGTCAACTCTAAAAGGCATTATTATCTCCTGGCCCGCAGGAATGAGTACGATTTTCACTGTAAACAAAAACAGAAAAAAAATCATCATCAAATACAGTAAGGCTCAGCAACATACATCTAAAGAACGGGATAGCAGTACACAGAATATTGTTGTTGTTGTTATTGTTAAATCGCTATGTGCATGGTATAAGTTACAAAATCAAGAATTACTGAAATATTCAAAATGGCACCAAGAACTCCCATGGAGTAACTCAATTGAGAGCGATTGAGCCCCGGCGAGACTGGCTCACTTCGTCTTCTCACTCTGCCTTTTCCATGTGCAGACCCAGCATGCAGGAATTATCTGAGCTGCCTGCTCTGTGTTCCAGAGCTACATTTCATAAGAATAAACTGCTGTTGTTGAGGTGGAAAAGAAAGACAGGGGAAACCATACGGTCGTGAGAAGGAAGAGCCCCTCACCGATCAGATTGCCACCACTCTCTCAGGGAGAAGCAAGGATTCTGGCACAATTGCAACTGCTTACAGCCTGTCTCCCAGCTTAGCTCTTTGTCTGCAGACTCTTGGAATTGCACCAGAAAAAGAAAGAGAGACATGTACAAAGAACAGACGAATACTGAATCCGGTTATGTAGTCCTACAGGCTCCTGATTCTACTCTATCAGACTATCTCATTCCATCCAATGCATCCCTGGAGCCATCCTATAATCTCACTGATCAAAAGAGAAAGTAAAGGAAATAAATGTTTCTTAGCGACTTTATTGAGGTGCTGCTTGAAAACTCTCTCTCTCTCTCTCTCTCACACACACACACACACACACACACACACAAAATGGTAAGACAATTAATTAGGACTTTATTCCCGGAGCCTCCGCCTACGCTCTCCGGTGTAGCTTGGTTTCACAGTGTCTCTCTTTTTCCTAACCTTCATGATTAAAGCCTGTAGTAAAATATCTTTCTTTTTTGTTTTTTTTTTTGTTTTTTTTGTTTGTTTTTCGAGACAGGGTTTCTCTGTGTAGCCCTGGCTGTCCTGGAACTCACTCTGTATACCAGGCCAGCCTCGAACTCAGAAATCCGCCTGCCTCTGCCTCCCAAGTGCTGGGATTAAAGGCGTGCGCCACCACCGCCCGGCAGTAAAATATCTTTAATAAAGTCTCCAACTCTGCACCATCTTGGCTTGTCCTGAAATTGCTGTGTTGAACTTACAAATCCTAGTTTTGCTTAAGTTGAGCAAGGTCCTTAACAGATTGAGGGGACCCATCCTGTGCTCGGGATGACACTGTGGAGCTCTCTCTGTCCCCTCCCTGCTGACACTGTTACTGCTGTTATCTCAGGCCCATGTTCTTTTTTATCATAGGTACTCACTGGCAAAGAAGAAAAGAAACAGTCAGCAGCTACACAATTGCATTGCTGTCCCCTACCCCAATGCTGTTATCAAGTAATGACCAGGCCTACGTAAGGTCCACATTGTTCTGTGTGTGTCATTAAAACTGACCTCAATGAAAACTGAAATGTGTTTTCCTGAGCTGTATATACAGTTTGTACCAAGCAGACAAAAAAAGCAAAACAAACAAACAAACAAACAAAAACACAACAAGCAACAACAACAAATCAACCATGTAAAAGCATCATGCTATATAAGGGAATACCAAACACAAAGGAGAATCTGGGCTCCTGTTTCATACTGTATCTTGTTAGCTATGTACAATAATTAACTTCAAATCTACAGGCCAAAAAATTCAGTTACACTCAGAACTTGCTCTTACTTACTCTATTAGAAATACACACACACAGAGGG